TAGCCAATTTCAAAGTACCTCCTCTGAGGGAGGCACAGGTCTCTTTACGCTACGCCCAAATTCTGTACGCGGAAACGGAAAACTACGATGAGGCAGAGACTATCTTGGCAAAGGCCATAGAGCTGTGCGAGCGACACAAGTTTATTGATCTAAAGTATGAGATGCAGCTCCTCCTGTCCAAGGTACTTTACGAATCGAAACCCAAAGCCGCTCTGCGAGATATCCAGAGAATGATCGATGACATCGAAGCCTATAGCCATACAGTTTGGCTGTATATCTTTCGTTTTCAACACGCAATGTTTTCGTTGGCTTCCAGTGCCCCCGGTGAGATTCACGGCGCTGTCGTCCAGTTGCAGAAGATTAGGCGCTTGGCTCATGAAAATTCTGACGATGCCGTCTTTGCATTTGCTGCTGCTCTTGAAGCTCTTCTGCACCTATCTGGCTCGAGTCAAGAAGCCGTGACAGCGAGTCAAACGGCGCTGGCACAGGCTCAAAGTTCGCAATTGAATACAGATGTCCAAGGGATTCCACAGCTCACCATACTGATGAAATTCATCGACCTTGCCTGCAGCATCCGAGGAGCCAACATTGGCCAAATTGCGGAAAAGCTCGCGGTTATGCTAGACATTCTGAGGCGGTCGGTGAGCGATGCAAATTGGAGAGAGGATGGTTTGATCTATGTTCCGGTTGGAACAAAGGCTGTAGCTGGTATGCAACTCCATGGAAATGGGAATCTCATCAAGAAAAATGGAAAGTACCATATCCCCTTTTCGTGGCTGGGAAAAAAGGAAACAATGGCCTTGGGCAATTTGTTCTCGGCAGCGAGTTCAGCTTACAAGAATGGATCTGATGGAGGCAAGGCCGAGAAATATGCGGACAGCGGCCTTTCTGTTCTTAAGGCTCTAGGAATGCCCTCCCTCAAGGCAGGATACCGAGAGTCCAGAAGACAGTTGATATCTCGACGGCTTGCGGAAGCTGAGTTCTCGTTGCTTCTCGTCTTCTTACAGTGCTCGAAAGGACTTTGGCACGAGGCAAACCATACCCTAGACAAAGTCCATGTGATCTCACAGGAGTTGGGCAACGCTTTTCCGGTTAACATGAAGTCCTGCCTGCTGTATCTCCGGGGAGCCGTGCTGCAGGGGACCGGAGATTTGGCTGGGGCGCTTCAGGTCTATCAATCTCTTTCCGACACTGACACTCGGAACAAATCACCCTCGGGAGGATCCAGATGCTCGAACCAGATATCAAATTCTTACCATGCAGAGTCCGATATAACTCGCCAATTCTCCATCCTCGCGATGATGAACTCCACCTTGATCATCCGCAATCCAGCCCATCCACAAAATAAGCGCCTGTCATCTTTGATCAAGGATCTGGACACCGCGGTTCAGAAGTGCGGAAATCCATACATCAAGTCGCATTACGCTCTCGTCGAAGCCATTCTGTCCACAAACCAGACCGCAAAGAAGAACTCTCTGGGTCGCTCGATGGCCGAAAGCAAAGCAATTGGTAACGCGCAGACTACGGCATTGATCCTCGTCTACATGCAAGACCAGATGTACAAGGGCTCGACGGACGACCAAGCCTTGAAATGCGCCAGGGCCGCCAGCAATCAAACAGGGAGATGGGGCCAGCCCATGTGGATGCACGTTGCGACCGCCTTGGAGGCCCAGGCACTGGACTTTCAGGGCCGGGTTGTCGAGGCAAAAGAGAAGATGGCTGCAGCAGAGGTTGGCTGGCAGATGTTGCCGAATGGCATCAAGGGTATTGCGGATGAGGGCACAGCCGGCCCTCCAGAATAGTGAATGGGCGCGAACTTGGTCGACCTCTGCTGTACATTCTGGGGTCTGGGATATAGCACGGCAGAAGCGACGTGACTTTTTTTTTTTCAAACACAGTGCTTGAGTGGGTGGGTGGTACACGGGATGGCTGAACTCGTCTTCATACAGCAAGGAGCTAGGACAAGGACTAAAAAGGAGGGAAACTGTCGACATCTGGGAGTTTTGATGAAACTGAAACTTGATGGACTTTAAAAGGCTAGTTTTGCACATGATTTCAACACCCGAGCACCCACCGTGGTAAGCCGTGTTAATTAATGTGAGGTAGTTCTCTGCCATTTCATTTCTCTTCCTGTGTCTGATCCTCCATGTCGAGGTCGACGACGACGACATTCGGCAATTGTCTGTCCGGGGCAGATCGAGGTTTCAGCTCAGTCATGCGCGAGCTCTCCTCGAAGTTGTGTACCCGAACAAACCATCCAGCAAGCAAATAAGCAAGCGAACAAACAAACAAACAAGCGTTGCGTTTGCTCTCTCGATTTAGCCCATGAATGGTACCACGACCCAGCATTGCACAAGAAGCCAGCTGATCCATTCGCGCATCCGTTAAAGCACGAGGAGTGTTGTTCTTGTTTGCGATCGTTGTTGTTGGACCCTCCGTAAACAAACCGGGTGGTGCTGTAGAAAGACATCGGTGGCATCAGCCAGATAGCAAAGAATCGTCACACATCGACTCATTCCATCCTCATATTTCGCGTCAAACCCTAGGTGAATACCTTCGTCAAGCGTCAATACTCTCTGGAGTAGGCGGGGTGTTTCCCAACGACTCAGACCCTATTGCTTCTTTTGGGCCTTTCTTCTTGCGGTGGCGCTGGCGCTGGCCTTTACCTTTGCCTTTGCCTTTGCCTTCTTCCGGGCTCGCTTTTTGGCCTGGCGTCTCCTGTATGCTTTCGCCGACGTTGCTGGCCTCTCCACGGCCTCTGAGAATGTCAGCCCAGACACTCTCGTCGATGGGTGACTCACTTCGTCGATCGTCCCGGATTTTAACGCCAGGGTTGCTGGCACTGGTGCTAGCAATCGCAGGGCCAGTGGCTGGGTCTGTACCTTGGTTAGGATTCTGGTTGAGATTCAGGCTGCGACTGATTTCCTTCTCGAGTCTATCTAGACCGGAAAGGACCTCGGCGTCGGACAGGAGAGTCGGTTCTGCAGTGTGAAGTCGTTGCGATACTGAAGAGTCACCCTCACCACCGCTCGGCTCCGGAGACCCGACACTAGGTGTGGGAGATAGCCCACGGTCTGGGGCACCTTGAAGAGCCTTTTGATCTACTGTCTCGTCGACCACACCAGGTGCTTGTCGCTTGCCTGTCTGCCATTCTCGAATCATTCTGGATACATCGACCTGCCATTTGAGTTCTTCCAATTTCTGCTGGATAGAATAGACGATTTGTTCTTGTTCCCGCTGCCAGTTGAACAGCGCTGGACCGCCTTCTCTGGGCGCGTTGTTGAGGAACTCGGGAATCTGCAACAGATTGTGGGGTTGTGCCAGGCCTTTCAGCTGGCTATCGTCAACGAGGACAGTATTACTCTGATCCCACTTCCGTCCGGTTCCTGCTTTCTTTCTGATTTTCTTGTCTTCCCAGATGGGTTCGAGCTTCTTGTACACCTGCACTTTAGTGTCGTACTGTTCTCTGCTGAGGCCCAGCTTATCTCGAGCCCAAACACCAGCCATTGCACCCCGTTGAGTTGGATGAAAGAACTGACTTACCATGGCTGCACAATTCTCAGGCTTCGCCGACGAGTACACCATGACAACATGGTTCTGGAATAGGTAGTCCAACAACTTGGGAACACCAGGTCGCACAATGATGTGCTTAGGACGATGGTGCTGAGGTCTAACAAGGAGTGTGCCGTTGAGGTCGAGAATGACTAGCAGCTTTTGTGGTGTTTCTCTCAGCACGGGCGGTAATGCTGCTTGTCTCTTGTACTCTTCGGTGGCTGTCGGGGCGGGAGGAGGCTTGACATCGGGGATCCATAGCCTGCGCTGCTGAGCTCTGGAAATCGGGGTACTCCCAGCCTGTCCTCGTCTACCCGCAGTCTCAGCAGACGACGCAGGTGCGCGTGCGGCTGGAGTGCTGTAAGGAGCAATCTGCGCTGGCCGTCTCTCTCGGAACTGGTATCGAGATGATGTTTGTGGCCGTGGTACCCCAAATATGTTTTGAGCGTGCTGGACGATATACCTCTCGCGTGTGCCATTCGACACTCTGTTTGACTTGTCAACTCGATATGTAGGATATCGAGCATAGTTATGGACTGACCTTAAAGGTTGATACGGCCTATAGTAAGACGGTAGTTCTTGGGGGGTCTGAGCCGCAAACGCGCCAGTATTGAGTCCTGCTGAGGCGGCAGGGTGTGTCTCGTGCTGGGCGCGGCCAAAGTAGTCATGGTAGGAGGACTGGAAATTGGTGGCAGTCTGCGAATTCGACTCGTCGTTTCTGTACGGTCTCCACGAATCCGCTGCGTTGTATGTGTCAATTCTGTACTGGAGATAACACTGAAAGTAGTCACCTTGACGGATCTGTGCGTTTCGATCTGGCCTGTAGGAATCATATGCGCCTACATTCCGTGGCTGGAACTCTTGGGGCATGGCGACCGGCGCCGCAGGCAGTCGGTTGTCATTCGGCTGATATCGATCACCTCGAGTCCTACCCATGTTGGGCAATTCTATTGTATGCAAGGATAGTGACGGAGGATGTAGAGAGGGTCGGAAGAGGTGAGGGATGTGCGGCCACTGGAAGAAGAGTTAGTGGGCGGCGAAAGTGAAATGGGTGTTTGGGTCAGGCAGACTCTTGAATGCGGACTGCGATAGAGGGCAACCTCTATGCGCAACGCCAGACTGCGCGCACCTCGAATATGTCGAGGGAGAGCCTAGTAGCGGGGGGAGTGAGCCGCAGTTGTAGCTGATAGTGTCTGTATTTGTTTCTTTGAAAGACAGGCAGAGAGACGCTGGAGACTAAAAGTTCTGACTGATAATACTATTAGCGCAATTGGCATGGGCATTCCATTTTGCGTATGGCGTAGTCGTCAACTTTATCTAGCTTTTAAGGTTGCCGATCCACTTGATGCCTGTAACACACGCATTTCAAAATAAAAAGTTCCATGCTGGGCGCGGGGTCCGCAGTTTGATCGATCATTGCAACCGGTGCTCTACTCCCAACAGTTTCAATGGCCTCGGGGCGACTCCTAGAAGGTCCCATTCGATTGAGACATGAAGATGAAGAAGATTATGAGCTGGAGCCTTCCGACGCGAATTTAAACAGCCAAACGCAGTCGGAGAGTGACATCTCAGAGGAAAGCAACTCGGAGTCTGACAACGAGGTAAATCAATCTACCAGCCGCCGGAGTCCTTCTCCTGTGCTGACAACGTCTAGGATAACGCTCTGTCATCTGGAATTGAACCTGACGAAGAAGACTCCTTGGGAAATATCAGCTTCGGCGCTTTGGCGAAAGCCCAGGAAACGTTCGCTCCCAAATCCCGGAAACGAAAGCTCGCGGATAGCTTGGAAGAGCCCGCATCAGACAAGGCCAAAGTGAACAGAGAAGAATCTTTCGATACGCGCAAAAGAGCCAAGGAAGCACGGATTGATGCACCCAAGAGAAGTTCAAAACATGCGCCCGCAGTTGAGTCGGCGCGGAAGCCGGTCTCGCGGAAGAGAATCATATTCGAGCCACCCCCTTCCCTGAAAGCGCGAGACCCGCGCTTCGATCCCACAGTCATGTCCGCAAATCGAGACAGGAACGCCACGGAGAAGGCAAACCGTAACTATTCTTTTCTGACCAAATACCAAGCCGACGAGGTTCTGCAGCTCAAGGCCCAAATCAAAAAGGCCAAAGACCCCGAGGTTGTTGCCGACTTGAAGCGACAAGTCATGTCCTTGGAGTCAAAGATCCGCAGTTCAGAAGCCCATCAGCGTGAAAAGGAGATCCTGAAAAGGCATAAAGAAAAAGAAAAGGAAGCGCTTCGGACTGGACAGAAATCCAAACCTTACTACTTGAAGGAGGCCGACGTTAGAAGACTCGCTAAGGAGGAGAGACTGCAAAGTCTGGGCAAGAAAGTCCGGGATAAGGCAGAGAAGAGGCGACGGAAGAGAGAGAAGGCCAAAGAAGCACGAGATATGCCCAGGGCAAGGCGTGAACGATAGCAATCACGAGATGCAATTGTACCGTGGATGACTATGGTTTCATCTCCATATCTACGACCAACTTTCCGCCCACGCCCCGGTGATAATCCTCGACCAGCTCGTTCAACTTTTCCAGCGGATACGTCCTGATCTTTGCTCTCACGCCGTTCTTGGCCGCGAAGTCGACCATGGCCTGCAGCTGTCGGTTCCTCCCAGTCAGGACGCCCACCAGCTTTATGTGTCGAAACACGAGATCGCCAGGCTTGAATCTCCACCCGTCTTTGGGGAAACTCACGCAGACACAGGTACCGTGGTGCTTCAAGATGCCCATACCAAAGTCAAAGGCGGCCTGGGATTCAGGGAGGACGATGGACGAGTCGCACCCCTTCTCGCCCTCGAGCCCCTTTTCAGCCTCGCCAAAAATGCGCTTCTTCGCATCATCCACCGATTCCTTCAATGCGTCTACCACCGTGACCCTCTTGCCGTCCTCTCCTAGTCCCTCAATCACATCCTTTAACATGCCCATTGCAGGTGTGGTGTCGACTGCGACAACATTCCATCCCAGCTTCGCCGCAAATTGCACCCCCAGATGACCCAATCCACCACCCGCCCCGAGAATCGCCACAGATTTGCCTTGTCCACTGCCCTTTGCACCGGTAGTATCCACACCCGCGGCCTCAAGGGAATTCCAAACCGTGACTCCCGCACACATCAGTGGGGCTATGTCGACTGCTCGCATGCCGCCAGCCTCAGGGACGCGGGCAACCTGCCGGACATCTACAAGACACCATTCCTGGAAACCACCGTCTTTAGTCATTCCCAGATTGCCGGCCCGTGTACACCAAACACCATATCCTTTCATGTCCCCACCATTCTCCGTACACTCCTTGCACTGGCCGCACGGGTTGAACGCCCTCCCAGGCACGCCGACCAAACTTCCGACCTTTAGTCCTTTCGCCTCGGCTACCTTCTGCGCGTCGGCGCCGATCTGCTCGATGACGCCGGCAAATTCGTGAGAGCCGATGCGCGGCAGGTCTTGCTGCATGGCACCGGACACGAAAACCGCATCCGTGTGGCAGTACGAGGCTGCCTTAACGTGGACGAGGATCTCATGTCCCTTGGGCGGAGGCGGTGCGGGGTGGTCGGTCTTGAAGGTATAGGGAGTATTGAAACGTTCTAGCACTTGAGCGCGCATTGTGGACGGGATTCTTCGGTTGAGGGGATTATTACTGGTGTGTTTGGTGTCGCCGCTGCTGTGTGTATGAAGAGTTCTGACAAACCCAACTCGAAAGGTCGCAACCTCACTCGCGCAGCTGCGTCTCGTGAGTCGAGGTTCAACGGAGCTTTGCGTGCGGCAATTCTCTTTCGAACTCGCGGTTGACGATGGCAGGTGCTGTAACGGTGACGATAAAGCTGATGCCCGCGAAGATGACGGCGTCCTCCTTGGGCCTGTCGTCCGTCGGAGGAGGAATTGAAACAGGTCTGTCGTTACTCTTGCCGGACCGTGCCCTCTCAGCATTCAAAAAGCGGCCTTTTTTTTGATTTCTTTTTAGATCTCCCTCTCCTTTTCGGTTATATGCTCCAAAAAAAAAAAATACCCCCGCGACGGAGAAGTTTCTCCGAGATATTGGATATCTTTCCGTTGCGTAGTATCCGGGTAGATGCGAACAAAGACCTCCTTGTCTTCCGTTCCCCGTCTTCCGTCAGCAGTCAATCGATTGATATACAGTACCTCGTACTTCTAATCGACTTTCGAAGAAGAGATAAGTAAGAGTGAGGTAGGAGGAAGTGCGGGAAAAAAGAACGAAACTTGAAGGAAACTATTCTTGTTTCCAAAAGAGAATAAAACACAGCGAGAGAACTTAGGAGGACCTCAACAAGGGATCCAGCACAGACTCGGACTCGGACTTTGGATATTTGAACAAAAAAAAAGGGTATCAGAAAAGGGAGGGGAAAGGAAGGGCATTGAGAGGTAAGGTCTGAATGAGGGTTTGCCATGTTGGAGAAAAGGACTGTTCAGCCTCGTCCGTGGGTGGCGGGGTTGAGGCTTTTCTCCAATTCCGAGTTGGGGAAGGCGAAGGAGCAAACCGCGAGACTGCCAAACTGTGTCAGGCTCTATACAATCTCAATCTGAAGTTCACTTTCCTTTTTGCCTGTCCAACAAAATGTCGCATCGATATAGGAGCCATCCAGATAAAAAGAAAGTTGACCCCGACAAAGGGAATGCTCTTCAGCTTTGGCACCGATCAAGGTGACTAAATTTCCCATTTTCCAAGCCTAGCGAATCTGTGCACTACCAAATTCGTCCTCCTTTCCCACCCATCAATCCCGAACGTAATCACAAAATGCATCATCATCAACCCTGTCCTTGGTATCTGGGAGACCTTTGGCGCCCACCACATCCTCCTTAAATCAGCCGTCCCACCCGATTCGTTGTGTCCTGAAGTCGGTAATTGGTATTAAGCAATAGTCCCAGTCCAGCCAGTCCTTGTTCATCATTACGCAGTTGTCCCCATTTGCGAGTTCATCAGCCAAAAAGAACACCTCGATCCCCAAAAGGCGGTTCAAATCCCACAGAGCTCAACAGATCATAGATCCGAGAGAGCAAAAGCCAGTTGTCTCATTACGCCGTAAAGCGCCGTCGCCCAAGAAGAGCTGGGAATACGTTTTCAGTATCCAAAAGGACATGAAAGCGACGAGCTGTGGTTACAACTCAGGAGTGGAACAAGTCCCAGGCTCTCGAGCACAGGCTCAAGAACTCCTCCTTCTTTGCTCTCTGGGTAGCCGGGCTGTCCCTTCCCTCCCCAAAAGGTCCGTTGTAACGAATTCGATCGGGGCCTGGACCGAGCGGGGGACTGCTGCCATCTTCATACTCGTTGCGACTTCTCCTCCTGCTTGTGGATTGCATGCTGGGTTGGTATTTGTGCGGAGTCAGACTGTCTTTATGCCCAACGCGAGGTGAAGGAGGTGTAGGGGGTTGGTGACCACCATAGTGAACGATTTTCGGCAGCAGCTCCTCCCGGCCCCCGGTCAACTCATGCACTGCTTCTTCCGCCGATCGATACTCTCTTGGGCGGTCGAAATTATGTGATTGATGCTGAGACGCCGGGTGAGCTGTTTGCGGAGCGAATCCTGGCGATGGCAGGGGAAGACCGTGGCTTTGAGACGAAGTTGAGCTTGCGTGAAGGAAAGGCGGTCGACTAGCGCCCGGATGCAGTTCGTTAGCCCCAAAGACATCGGCAATAGGAGGCAACCGGTTCGTTGTCTGCATAGCAGGCACGTGATGAATATGTGAGTTTTGCGCCAGGTTGGGTGTTTGGTTGTTGATCTGCCTCGACATAGGAGGGGGATCATGTCGACCGGTGAAGGTCTGATTCAACGGCGCGGATTGTATGACCCTTTCGTTGGCAAATCGTTCGGCGGGAGGGGGGACAATCGATAAACCTGGTGGGGGTCTCTTCTTCGAACCATTTACGGTGCTCTTGCTCGAGGTTGGGCCAGCTCCTTCACCAGGCTTTCCAGACTCGGGCGCATCGCCTCGAGCGGATTTAAGGAGTCTTGCCTGGATGATTGATCGTTGTTGGTCCCGGACTGAAATGCTGCGTTCAAGCTGTTCCCGCATGGCAGGATCTTGGGTCTGAAAGCCAGGCGACAAACAGGCTAAACCGACGTCATGCATCACCAGGCCGTCTCTTGCAGTCAGTGGTGTTGCAGAAGGCCGCGAGTTCAAGCCGGTGGAGATCGAGGTATTTGTATTCAAATCCAACTTCTTTGGACGGTGACGAGTGCTCGCCTGCAGCGAGGGAGATGTTGGTGGCTCTTTCTTGACAATGATCTTGGGATTTCCGTTGCTCCTACTGCTGGGTCGGAGGACAATCAGCTATCGTTTAGCAGGAAATAGGAGCGTCGATACAACTTACGACCTAGGGGACCTTTTCCCATCCGAAGGTGTCCTTTCACTTGAATTCATGCCACCACTCATTTCCGAGGTCATGGCCATATCTGAATTTCTGTCCTTAGGGGTCGAGTTACTCGAAGGAGCTAATGGTGGATATGCTCTTGGGCTTGGATTTCGGTCAAGGGGTGGGAGCGCAGCCATTATTGCTGGAGCTACAGCTGTCGACATGGTGAGGTCGGCCGTCAGAAACCGGGGTGCAGAGGGGCTGCTGAGGACTCGAGTCGCACAGGTAGCCCTTGACAAAACAGCAGTGAACAATCCAGCTCTTTCTCCCAGTGATAAAAGACTTGTAGGTTCAAGCTTCCCGCCGATAGTCGATTGTAAAGGCGTCGGAGGCGGCCCCCAAAAAAGAATAATTGGACGCTAAACGAATGGCTTCGCCAGCAAGCAGCGCGAGATGGATGGCGGCGATTTGCCAGCAAGTCGAGCACAACCTTGCGAGTAGCGAGCGACCGTGGTAGCGACAAAAAAAATCGAAAGGCGACTTGAGGTGTTTTGTGAGAGGCGGAATAGTAGAGAACGGGATGAGCAAGCAACGAGCGGCTAAGGTCGTGTAGAAAACAGACCTCGCGGATGCAGGTGACGGATGGATAGGGAAGGGGGGAAAAGGAAAGGATACGAGCACAAGTGCAATTGGGAAAAATGGAAATGGGAAAAGGCGGGCGGCGCAGGGAGGGGAAGGGAGGGCAGGGAAGGGAGCAAATGGAACGCGCAGGAGGGCCCCAAGGAGCCCCAAGGACACCCGCAAACGAGAGACACGACACCGGTCGAGTGTCGCGAGTCTCGTTGGGTTCACACTAGGGATTCAGAATTGGGAACTGGAACAGATGAGATCCAAGCCCCTAGCCTCGACTGGTGTTAGGCCCACCCGCCTGAGCCAGGAACAACGTCGAGAAGTGGTCCTGGGTGGGCTTCGGTGGCACTGGGGTCCTAAGAACAAACTGTCAGAGCTTCTCTTCCGGCCTGCCATGTGTCTGCGCAGATTGTGGCCGTTAAGCCGAGTCTGGGCTAGCGATGAATAACCAGAAGTTTCATGGGCGCCACCTTGAGGGCCTCTCCAGGG